CTAACCCCAAACCCCTAAACCCCTACACCCCTAAACCCTAAACCCCAAACCCTAAACCCTACCTGCACCCGTTCCCCCCCTCCCCAGCCCCAAATCTCTGAAGACCCGGCTTGATAATAGGCGTGCTCCAAGATCTTCGGAAGGGCTCCGTGTAGAGCCTTGGGGTTTAGGGGTTTAGGGTCCTAGGGTTTAGGGTTTAGGGGTTTAGGGGTTTAAGGGTTCAGGGGTTTAGGGTGGGCTCAAAACGGAGAATGGAGCATAGAAAGGCAAACACTTTAGGCCTTAGATAGTTCGTTTAGGGTTTCGGGCTTTAGGCTTTAAAGGAGCTTGGGATGTAGAAAATTCAGGTTTTAGGTTTTAGGGCCTTTTTGGGTTGAGATTTTAGGGTTTAAGGTTTAGGCTTAAGGTTTCAGGGTTTAGGGCTTAGGGTTAAGATATTAGGGTTTTGGGGAAGATTTGCAGGTTCCTTTACCAGTCTCTGCTCTTGTGGCAGTGAACGATGTAGGACAGATGGTGATGGCATGAAGGTTTAGGGTTTAAAGTGTAAGGTTTCGTTTTAAGGGTTAGGGTTAAGGGACGTGACATGGAGTAGTTTGAGACTGGAAGCCTAACCGTTCATATGCGACACCCGCAGCGAGAAAAATGCATATCCCTACTCCCTGGACCCGAAACCCTAATCTCTAAACCCTAATTCCTAAACCCGAAACCCTAATCTTTAAACCCTAATACCTGAACCCTAAACCCTAATCTCTGAACCCTAATACCTGATCCGTAAACCCTAAACCCTAATCTCTAAACCCTCATGCCTAATCCCTAAACCCTAATCTCTAAACCCGAATACCTAATCCCTAGAGCCTTAATCTTCTAGCCGTAAGCCTCTGATTCGATCTTTGTCCTCTGCCGGAGGCTAGCCCTTAGCTTGACAGTTTTCGGTTGACGGTCGAGGAATGAATACAGGGGCCTTAATGTTTAGGGCCTCTAGGATTTAGGGTTTTAGAATCGGATTTTAGAGAATAGTGTCTTGTAATTCGACGAAAGAGCCGAAAGAGATGATACTCTATGAGGCTGAAGCTACTCGGAAACTTGAAGCCACAACTCGAGGTTGTAAAAAAACGCCGATGGGACACCGCGAGTGCCATTCTGATCGAACACCGGCCTATATGGCTCCGTTGAATACTGCGTTCAAATTCACGCAGGCTTCTTTGTAATCCTTCTTGTGATAGGTACCGTCAGTGGTCAAGATCCGCAAAGCCTATAGGTCATTCGTAGACTGTGCTCCTATTGGGGCATTGTTTCTGCAATGCAAACACGATGCAAATCAACTCCGTCAAAAGGTTCCAGTATCTGCCCTCATCCTTTAGATCAGTATTACTGCAATGTAAATGCTACAAATCAACTCCTGCAATTTTATCCGACCTTGACCTGCCCTGAGACACAGCTGAACTCTGTCGAAACAAACGAACTGACACGGGTTTATCAGATTCAAGCATTCCTACAAGCCTTGCCCCGTGTTCCCTGCACTTTCTGACAGGAATAAGCCTAAGCAAGTAGAAATGTCTTCCGTCGTCTGAGCTAGACCTGTCCAGACACCTCAACTACACCCTACACCCTAAACTCCCAAAGCCAGCACCCTTCAAGCCCCAAAACCCTTACAACTCACCTTGTGTCCGGGGGGGCCCTTAATACAAAGGTAATATGATGTACCCCCCCCCCCAGAGCCTATTCTAGATTCTAGTTACTCGGGCCCTTATATTCGAACGGCTGAGCCTCTGGCATGGCATCATGGTGACTAAACGACTGCATCGCGTAGAGATTTGCGCGCGCCGGCAATGGGAAGAGGCCGAAGATGTAAGGAAAAGCCCAAAAAATCCTTATGACCCTTCAGTATGGGCCTTGAGAGTCAGGCTTTGGTTGGGGGGAAGCTCCTAGTACAGATCCGGGGAAAGCAAGGCTGACGGCCTTGAAGCAAGTAAGACACTCGGTCATAGTAGTCCGGCTGTCATGCTCATGTTCATGCGCTGCTCTGGCGTGGAATGGGCTCCGATCACGAGACGTTGAGGAACGAGAGAGGTGTTTCAGGTTGAGGCCGGCCAAATGTGGGCCCTTACTGGTCGGAATTTGAATAGGGTTTTGGGGTGTGTTATGGCGTAACAACATGTAGGGACTAAAGCCACAAACCCCTGAACCCTAAACACCTAAACCCTGAAATCCCAGAACCCAAAAACTCCAAACCCGAAACCACAAAACCCCCAAAACCCTAAAATCCTAAAACCCTAAACCCACTGAACCCCTAAACCCCCTAAGCCCTAAACCCCTAAACACGACACCAGCAACGGGGAATTTAGCACCAACTATTCAGACCGCCAGTTCTCGAAGTTTCGGGTTTTGAGATAGAGGGCTGCTAGGCTCAACGGGGAAGTGCAACAAGGGAGCCGGGGATGCGTATTTAGGGTTAGGTTTCGATGTTAGGCTTTAGGGTCTTGGGGCTTATGGTTTGGGGTTTAGCAAGGATCGCAGAACACAGGCGAGGAATTGACATCAAGAAGTTGGCTACAGCGAGGCGTCATGGGTCAAGTCCCAGAGGGCTCATAAGCGAGCATAGCTTCAACACTACATGACACAGTTGCCTGCGAGTCCAACTTTACTCAGCACTTACGCAAGCCATTTGGGAGTTTCCGAAAATTAGGGTACCTTATTTTGGGGGGTCCTTATAATAAGGATCCTATTATTTAGGGTACTATATTAGGGTCCCCTATTTTCGGAAACCCCCATCACGGTGATTCGCGCGGTTGCCGGAGCCAAGCTTCCTGTGGTTGTAGGTAATCAAACAGCAACTGCTGATGGACAAAATTCTGCATGACCCAAATATAGTACAGTACCATAACTCCCATAGTTTAGGTATATAAGGTCATGCAGGATTTTGTCCATCAACCGAATCATACTGAAGACTAGCCATGGTTGCCACATCTGTTGCTGATGCCATGCTGGGCCATGATGAGGGTTCTTGCTACCAGCTGCTATCACTGTCACTGTTCTCTCATCCCCGACTCACTACACCCTAAACCCTAAACC